TACGTGAAAAGTTAAATTATATAAAGTAAAACTATTTAGAAAAGTTCTTTAAACAATATTTCAATATAGATTTGCCTTTAACCTATTAAATGTTACATATATTAATCAGTCATACTCACATACAAAGCTACTGTTTTATCATAATACACGAACTTTTACAACCACATTTTATTACCAAAAAGCAACGATTTTCTTCGATCTAAAACTTCCATAACAACATTTTTAATAAACATGTTATAAAGCTTTTTATCAAATACTGTGACATTCCTGTGCATTTAATCATCAATATGGCAGCTAATACGCATTTGCAGCTTATCGCTATTATTTATGATTTGTTTTATGACGGCTCCTTATTAAATGCTATTTCTTCGACGTGGCGGGACATTATTAGTTAAAAGACAACATAGAATTTACGTGAAAATATAATTCTAGAATATATTTTCTCTGGGTTTATAACAGTACGTACTTAAAATTTTATTAGTTACGTATCTAAGTCCTTAAGTTTTACCACTGCGAGTGACAGACAACCTTATTGTCTATTTCTATTAAAAAAACTGAGATAACTTATGATTAATAAAATCCTGTTTTAATTTACAAATGTCTTATACCTCTATAGTCACCTTTGCCTTTCTTGTTTATCGCGTTCCCGCCATTATACAGGGTGTAAATGGAACGCTCCCGGAACGCTGGCAAAAATAAATTGTGTTTATAATTTTAATCGTTTTTATTTTGGTTTTATTCATGCAACACCAGCCTTGAGCAGTCGATTATAATTATTATTACATGAAAAAAACATTTCCAACTTATCGGGGGCCTTCCATTTACATCCTACAATTGGATATATATGTAACATCTTAACAAATAAACCGTCACCTAACAAGTACTTATTTCGTTGTTACTATTATTATTTGCTCATACATCGTCCATTGAAGACTGACGTATACATTGAATATGTCTCACCGAAAACACGAACCAAATTTGCTACGAGCCAAAACGTTTTGATAGGTTTTTTATAATTTTTACGTGGCAGCTTTTTTGAATATTACTTTTTAAGGCTGGTAACATTGGTGTTTACGTTTTCAGAATGGCTTAAAAGCCCAGTATTCAACATCTAATTAAAGTTATTTATTGATTTGAGTATTTTTATTGATTGGTCTAGTGATTGGGTGACATTTTTGAACTCACAATCTTGACTTCGATTCCCGAATCAGGCAGTTTAGGTTTTTAGATTCTGAGATTTTGCGAGTGTGATGAAATCATATGTACCAATGTTACCATTATATCATAATACTTGAAGCGTTTTTGCGCCTTAGTTTTTATTTTATGTTATTGTAACATAATTCTAGTAAATGTACCTTTTCACTAATTTGCTCATATCACATTCTAGACCCAAATATCACAAGACAGCGAAATTATAAAATATTACCTTTTTTATTTAAATTTAGTGTTTTGGTGTATTTATAAAATTAGGCTTAGGTATCTGCATATCATTTTTTGTTTGTTTTAAACCCCCTGCGTGTATTATGAAATATTATGAATTTTGTTACTAATAAATTAAAAATTTTGTTGGTACTGGTTGTAGTAGAACAATATATTACTTTTACTGAAGTACCTAAACTTTACCCGAGTAAAGTATTATACGGTTTTTGGGTATCGAAAGTTTAGTTTTTAGTTTTATTTTGGTTGGTTTACGACCAAAGTCGAATATTTTATTTCAATTTACCCAATAAAAGACTTAAAAATCTATATTTTAGACATGAATACAAATACATAAGCATTTTTACCATGCTGCGCGAGAGTTTATTAATTTGTAATGATAACCATAACACATGCATCGGGGTTTACGTATATTTGTTGAAATATGTGCAATATTGTTGTAAATCTGTCGCAAAATCTTGCCGATTTGTGATCGAAAGTGTTTTTCTATATTATTATTATTAAGTTTGTTCTAGATCTGTTAAAAAATCGCGGCATCTATTTTTTTAATTTTTAAATGTCAATCCAAAGCATATTATTAGAATGTAAGCACATTAATTAAGATTATGTACTTATTATACAAGTCAGACGGATATAGTATCTATTCTTATGTATATAAAGGTGAAATTCGTATCAACATTTCCATTTCTTTGATATGCGAATTTTAACCTTATTGAAAATATGTTTTCATCCAATTTTCGACCTAATTCCTGAGTGTTTAGGTAGATAATGATTTAACCGTGTAATGATTATAAGGTCTACATTTAGTATTAAGATACCTTTCATTGTTTACATATGTTTTTAGTAAGGTAAGTCCCTCTTCCCCTCCCAAACTTGACGTGATAATTGAAGTGATCAGGAATCCTAATTATAATAATATGACAGTTTTATACATAGTTTATGTGTATCTGAATGTTGTTAGCGTTGATAGAAACAACACGAATCAACATTTGAATCTATTTTTGTGAAAAATGTTGTGAAAAGTACTCTATTACGATAAAATTTACTAAATTTATATAGTTTTAACTCTGCAGACATTAGAAATGGCAAATAAATGCGACGAAAATCATTGCAACCAAGTCGAAAATTTTAAATCTGGCAACGTCATCATATTTTATTAACCTGGCAACATTATGTCCTATTTATTTCAGTCAAAATTCGGATCGTTAAAGTATAACATAACATCACGCCTTTTATCCCCGAAGGGGTAGGCAGAGGTGCACACAGAAGTGACACCCACTTTTCACTATTTATGTTATGAGTCCCATGTAATCGTTATCGTTAAAGTATAATGAAAGGATATTTTTGAAACTACAAAGTTTCCAATCAACGCTAACAAACAAGTATGCATTAGTCACAAAATGTAAATGGCAACATTGAAACTATGACGTAAGTACATACAATTTAATAATCTTTTATACTATGCGTACTATAGATTTTGTATTAGCGTAGCCACGTAGTTCTGTGTTAACTTCATAAGATGTATCTAATTATTGTGTACCTACTAATTAATATAATAGGGGCCGGTATTTCAAACAACAGATATTTTTTTATCTGTAGAATAAAATTGACATTTGACAGTTTTGAATATGCAAGAATTGTCAAATATTCAAAGTCATTCTTCTAAAAAAATTAATCTGGCGTTGGAAAAAATCAGCCTTGAATTAACTAAATCTTCGTTTAAGTCGTTAATGTGGGCACAAAAGTTTGTCTGTACTGAATCAATATTTTTGTTGTCTGCATATTAAATAGTATTGCTGACTGTATGTAGAAAGTGGTTTCTTGATTACTAAATGTCCGCGTGTAATGTTAAATAGGTGCATTTTGAGTCAATTCTTATGTTAGTAGTAGCGTAAGTACTTTTATCATGTTATCTATTAAGAAATTTTACTGAAAAGCTAAATTATTTTCAGTACCTAATTAGAAAATTCTCGAAATAGTTAATTGATTTTAAATATGTCGACATTAGCGAATTGAACGAAGATTTAGTAAAACATAATCTATTTATATATGTATAATCTATATATAGGAGAGAGCACAAATTTCAATATAAAACAACACTCGTTTTCTATAATAATTATATAAACTAAAACTATCGTGATCGTCGTTTTATATAAAGTAAACTTCCATTTTTTAATGTCGTCGTATACGTTAGGACAGAATCATTATGTACTATGTATGTAATATATTATATAATCAAAATAATCGGGTGTTTTGTATAAAAATATTCTTGAACTGTTTTTATAGAAAGAGAGTCTTGCTTTGTTCTAACCGATCGGCGTTAGAAATGAAATCTGTTAAATAAACCTATTTGAAACCTAAGATCTCAAGACAGGACTTAGTATAATAATTATTTTACTACTACGACACTAGCGCCATTAGTCTCCAGTAGTTGATTCCGGAACTATTTTTGACATAATGATATGGCCTACGTGGCAAAGACATCCAATTAATTATTCCTAATGGAAAGAGAAAAAGGTTGTGACTTCAACGAATGGATTGGATTTTGAGAGTTTATCCGCGATATGTGACCTATTTATGTAAATTATTTATTCTAGGCAAAGTGAGACTGTCTTTCGGACGAGGCTTATACATAATATGTACTTACACATGATATTGTAAGGACTTTATCATTGCAATTGTAAACATTCCATTGCTTGTGAATATGTTGTTTTATTTTAAAACCCTTTTTCTTCTTACACTAAGATATAATTCAGTTAATAAACTGAATTAAATACCTACGAATATTACTGCAAGAAACATGGGTATCGAGGTTCCATATTTAATACTCAGATATGTTAAGGGAAAATTAAAAAAAAATCTTGATGAAAGTACAGGATATTCAGAAGATAGTGAAACGACACACTTTACATAAAATATTTATTCCTAAGTAACAAAAATATTACATAACGAGATTCTTTTCACAAAATTTTGACATAAATAAATATTAAATCTCAACCAATTGAAACTCCGACATTAGTTTCCACACTATTTGTATCACGATGTTCAAGTAACTGTACTTGTACATGTAACTTTGTCCTCAATTGCTAAGCAAATTAGGTTGGATTTCGTAATACAGGTGTTACTTACAACTGACAATTATTACGTTATCGAGTTTATAAATATAATAAAATACTACTAGTCTGTCTCACAATGTCTGATGGTTTCAGTTAGTCTAACTAAAAATACTGACATATTTTTAAAATTCAGAAATATATCAAAAGACGTGTCTGTTATGTAAATAATAACTTAAGTAGAAATTTTAAAAAAGACTTGTAAGTGAAATGGCACATTACATACGTATAAAATATCATGCGCATATAGGAATCAAATTCGACTTAACTTCCATTGATGATGAAGTAAAACCTCTTATACGACCTCAGACAGGATAATGTCGGAATACTAAAACGCTACTCAATTTTAAGTCGCGCTTAAGTATAGTTCTGTCACTATAAGTTCTTTGTAAAATGACAGAGATGGCACGATATTTGAGCACGACTTAAAATTGAGTTACGTTTCAGTATTCCAGCATTATTCTGACACTACCTCCTACCCAGGCGGGAGCAGTCATTCGATAATCCCCCCCCCCTTAAAAAGACAGCATACCTCAGGGTCGTATTCTAGGTCCTGTCTTTAATCCCTATGACACTTAGACTCAAAAGATCTCAGAAAGAGAGTATTCGTGAACAAATTAGCTCCTGTCTATAATAATGCCTTAGTTTGATTTTGCTTTAAATAAATGTTCAGCCAATTAATCAAGTTTTATGGCACACATTAATGTGGTTCAAAATGGCGGGATTTTTTTTAAATAATATTATTAAACTGTCAAACACCAAGCGGTCACCGGTGACCGCAACCCATTGTTCTATAATTGTGTCTGCAAAACCGGTACTCGACGAGTTAATACACTAAACTAAGTACTTATAAGTACAAAGCTGAGTATTCATTTATAAATATTTGTTTTAATATAATTTCTATTCTAATCTACAATACAAAATCCTACATTACATCCTAGACGATTTATTTATTTGACAGCCTAAAAAATTAAAAAAGATAATACCTACATAAAAACTCACTGAGTTTGTCGCATTTAGATTACTTAAAAATAAATCCTATGCCTACACACATAAAGTGCAAAATATCACTGTTAAGCCGTTCCAATAACTTTCAAATCTAACCGAACTTGAACGAATACTTTGACACTTAACCTCAAAATAATACGAACATGACATGTGACGTCATAGTACAGTCTACAGCTTTGTAACGTCAGCTTCACAGTCTTTTTCTTTGTTTTTCACTTTGGTGTCCTTGCCTCCGATTTCCGCGTAGATTTCATCTAGGGACCTCATCTTAGTTTCTGGGACTACGCATGCGATGTACACTGTGCTGATCAGGCAAACTCCTGAGAACAGCCAGAAGATGAGGTAGAGGCCTACTGATGATGCGATCGGGTGGAACACTCGCAGTTCCACTGACATTAGACCGCAAGCGAACGCGATTACTATCGCTGTCACTGTGCCACGGAGCTGGAAATGTAAAAAAGGTATTTTAGCATGAAGTTAAAGACAGTTTTAAGCGCAAATAGATTACACCTATGTGTCGGAAATCAGCGCATTCAGTAATAAAGTAGTATCTATCTACCTAGCCTATGTAGTACTTTATTTGTTTCCTATTTGCATAAATAAAGAGTGCAAAAATTTAAGAATATACAGTTAAACGCGTTTTATTACATTTTTCAAAAAAGATCGATATCTGACTTCATTCTTTGTTGTTAACTTCTGAAACAGCGTTGTATGTTATCATAAATGTTTAATCTTTATGTAAACAGTAAGATATTTAAAACTAACCTGGAATGAAAACATCTCAGTCATAATCACAAACGGCACGGGTTGTAGGCCAGCTGCGTCACAGTATATGCACAAACACAGTGCTACTATCGGCAGCCAGGATGCGGTCTCAGTATCTGCGCCGATGTGAGCGTAGAACCATGCGCCGAGGGCACACATCGCTATGCCGGAGACCAGACATGTTGTCCCGAGAAGTGGCTGCGGAGAGAGAAATAGGAAATTAGGTACCATGGATGCCTTTTACTCGCCGATTGATAGAGTTAATCTGCTAAGCTATCTGAGCTTTTTGTTTCGTATCGGCACCTAAAAAGAGATCTATTTACTGTGGTAAATTGAATCGACGCCTAGATTAAGTTACTAACGCTGCACATGCATATGCTATATGCAGTTTAAGTCTTAAGGCTCCGGTAGTGCTCGAAACTAGTTGGTCATCCCTATAATAAGATGATGCGAGTAAACCACATGAATATAACTTAATTTACGGTTTAAGTTTAAATATTAAAAAAAACTACATTATTTGACGTTTTGTACCTACAGTGTAACATTTTCATAACGATAGATAATCCTACCTTCCTCCCAGTCCTTTCCACCAAGCTGGACGCAGTGCAGGATCCCACAAACTGGACGAGACCCAGTATAGCAGCCTGTTGGTTAGCAGTGAGCAGGCAGCCAGCACTGGCCTTGCTGAAGATGAGGGATGCGAAGTGTAACACAGCTAGACAGCCACACAACTCCCGAGCTACTGTGATGATGAGCACTATGCGGAACGCTCTGAAGGTACTGCGGTCAGTCACTGTAGCAGAAGGATTAGTAATGTTAGATTTTGAATGGAGATGGCGTTACTGCAGATTTTTCCCAAGTAAGTTAATATTAATGTATAAATATATGTAATTTAAAGTATCTATATAATCTAACCCTTTGAAAAAAAGAATAATAATGTGTGCGTGTTTTAATGTTTAGTAAAACTACAAGTAACAAAATCTATTTAACTCGTCGAGTACTGTCATGTCAAACACCAAGCGGTCACCGGTGATCGCTTGGTGTTTGATAGTTTAACTAACAAAACAACAATCTTACGTACACACACATTACACAATTCAATAACTAATAACTAGGAAAACAAACCCGCCACTTGACGACCACAACCGTAAGATTTTCCGTCCGGGAGCCACTTATAACTAGAGATGGGATTTTACCCGGAAAAAACCCGAATATGGGAAAAAACCGGGAAAATTCCCGAATGGGAAAATATTCGGGTTTTTTCATATTTAACACATGTAACAAATAAGTAATGTGTAGATTATGTACATAACATATAGTACGTACTATTTAAGAACTATTACAACAAGTTAGAGCTAATCTAACTTTGATTATGTTCATATTGCAGTAAGAACGTTCTTAATATCCTTAGGGACCTACTATCAAATGAAAGAAAATGAAATTAAACAAAAATCCTGTCTGTTTGTGTGTGATCCTCCGCTCTTAGCGACAGGTAACCCGAAAATACGTGAGCAAGTAGAGGGGCAGGGAAGCAGGTAGAAGAGGGGCGAGCGCGTTGGTGATCTATCTATCTCACACGTTGTTTCGGCTTCATACTGTGCGCACTCGTGTTAATTTGTTGGTTTAATTGACGACTTGGATTTTGTTTGGTGGACTTTTGGTTACCTAATACTTTGAATTGACAACAACTGCTACTCTTACGGACTTTGATACCTACTTTTTTTACGAACGAAATTTACCGGTAAATTTACAGTTTTGTAACTTTTGTAAAGTATAATAAATGATTGTTAGTAAGAGTATCTCTCGTTGTTTTAATTATATTATTTTAGTCAAACATTCTTTAAAGTTTAATAGGTATTTTTTCTGCTGTTAACATTCCATCACAGAGCGCAGTAAAAACTTATTATAAAACAAGAAGACGTCTTTATGGTGTTATAATAAATATGCTGGTTATGTTTTAGTCCTTGAAATAGACTACACATTTTAACGTTTCAAATAACAGACAACAGCTAGTGCCTTATACACGCTGGTGCTAAGTACTACTCTGTCAAGAAAGTACCGGGAAAAGATCAATAATACAAAAAATGTCTGTTATTCATCCAAATTTATTTTATCACCTTTAAACTGTCAAACACCGAGCGGTCGGTGTTTGACAGTTTAAACTGTCACCGGTGACCGCAACCTATTGTTCTTTAATTGTCTGTAATGACGGTACTCAACGAGTTAAAGTATGCTCCTTTAGAGACGATACACTTGCGCCAACGAATAATCTATTCATCAAAACATTTTTTAAACGCTGCTTCCAGAATTGAGTTTAGTTCTCGCCGCGAATTCTCCTTTACGTCTTCTATCGATTGAAAACGGGTGCCACGAAGTGGTAATTTGAGTTTAGGAAAAAGAAAAAAGTCAGCAGGAGCCATATCTGGTGAATATGGTGGTTGCTGGATGGTATTTGTTGAGTGTTTGGTCAAAAATTCGTTCACCTTGATGCCACCAATGATAGCCTTGTGCGAAGGCGCTTTCTCGTGGTGCAAAATCCAAGAATTTTCTTTCCACAAATCTGGCCTTTTTCGTAGAATTTGCTCTCTTCAACGCCGCATAAAGCTCAAATAATATTCTTTATTTACCGTTAGACCTTCCGGTAAGAATTCAGAGTGCACAACAGCGCGATAGTCAAAGAAAACAGTCAACATGACTTTGACTTTTGATCGACTTTGGCGTGGTTTTTTCGGTTTCGGTTCAGTTGGAAGGCGCCACTCCGAAGCTTGTTGACTAGTTTGCATGCCAAACTCATAAACCCACGTCTCGTCACCAGTAACAATGCGTTTCATGAATGTTGGGTCCAAACTGACTCGTTCTAGCATATCCTCAGCGACTTTCATGCGATTGAGATTTTGGAGAAAATTTAGATCTTTTGGAACTAGTCGAGCAGCAACATGTTTCATACCCTTTAATGTATAGTATAGATTAGTTAAAATGGTACGGATCGACTCGTGAGATACAGAAAGTTCGGCGGCTATCTCTCTCAGAGTTGAATGGGGATTTTCAGTCACTATTTCCTTCACTTTTGCGATGTTAACTACAGTTGCAGACCAGAGCGAGGCAAATCTTCCATCACATCTCGACCGCTTTTGAACGCTTTGAACCACTCATAAGCACGAGTTTTTGATAAAGTCGATTCACCGTAAGCTTTCTGTAACATTTTTAGTGACTCCGAACACGAAATTCCATTGGCGATGCAAAATTTAAGACAAACTCTTTGATCGATATTTGTGTCCATTATGAAATTCACAATATACATTATATATGATATTTCTGAAACCAGCGCTGTATTTAATATAAATAACATGCAACTCAAACTCCGCGCCAAAATGGAAAACAGTTGTGCCAATCTAACAACTACATAAAAACAAAAATTTGAATTTGGAACCATAAACAAATCATCCATTCCCGATACTTTTTTGAGTGAATGTAGGTATATGCGCATCATAAAGTACCTATTTATTTAGTTCTGAAAATAAAAATAGAATAAGATCATTATAAATGAAAATACCCGCCTATTGGGTTTTTTCCCACATAAAAACCGGGTTTTTTCCCGAAATGGGAAAAAACCCAGGTTTTTTCCTTTGGGTTTTTTCCCAGTGCCCATCTCTACTTATAACGGACCTTGTTAAGCCGACATGGGAATGTAGGTGCATAAACTGAGACACGTTACTCTACTGCTGTATTCCTAGTAGGTAGGTACCTATATTTGTTTGAATGTCTAATTGGGTACTTCCTTAATCAAAAATATTTTTTTTCGATTGATCAATAGAAAAATTACCTATTTATTAATTGATTTTAAGACCAACTTAATTTTTGTATTTTTCCACCGAATTAAGTAAGAAGTATACCTACTGTTTGACGCTAAAAAACGTGACGTCACAATACACAATTTCATACAAAATTCATAGAAAACTGTCGTTTTTGACAGTTCGAAAAAAGTATTGAATTTGACTAGTTGGCGAGTACCCAATTGTTTTCTGATAGGCTACTTTGTAAGATGTCAATTCGAACTCTCAAAGTGAGCCTGATCATATTCTCGCCCTTCATTGGTCGAGAATATTCTCACAACCAATAACATGGCGGACTGCGATCGAATTTTATTCAATCTTTCAAATTGAATGTTACAGAATAGAATAGCAGAGTGACAAGCAACAATAACTAGGTATCGCATTCGTAACGTAATAGTATCGAGCGCGTTCGGCGCTCGGATTGGTTTATTCACTGGAGCCGGCCAATCAAAGCGCTTGGCATTCTGAACCGATTTTGGTTATGAATGAAAAAAGTAAAACTGGCTAAAATTTGAAACTGAAAATGTATTTAATCTATTTGTAAATATCAATTTATGATCAAACGAGAGCATTTTGAAGTGCTCATATCTATTTTGAAGCTAGTAATAAATATTAATAGCTAATTATAGTTTGCATGTAAACTAATCGTTAATTCAACAAATCTCCAGTAGCCTCTATTGTAGAATAAGCCTTAACTCCAAATAAACCTGACAACAACACACTATTTTACGAACCAATTATTACAACATTTCATTTTCTAACACCAAAAGTGTTACCCACTCCGAAACCAGTTGGGCGTCCCAAAAAAACTCTAAAAACTGGAAAATAGTGGGAGTTCTAACCCAAAAACCTATTTTATAAGTTAGCCAAACAAGTACCGCGGCCGTGTTGAGAGCATTAGTTTGGACAAATATTCTCTAAGCTGTTTGCCAGAAGGTTCCCGTTATAGGTACCCATGGTGCTTGTTACCGGCCGTTTACATATTGTTACCGTATGCCTGTACACACAAACTAATGACTCGGCTAGTCGACTGTGGATCTAAGGCCTGTAGTTGGTATGTCTTTAGCTTAAATTCCTTCGAAGTTATTGGCAGAAAAGTACAGTTCTTTAAAGCCAGTTATTGTTTACTGTAATTGCAATAGAAATTGTTAACTGTATGTCATTGATTACAAAGCATTTTCACAATACGGGTGACCTAAATGTATGGACACGGAGAAGTCTTAAATCTGTGTAACGAATTGAATGAATCCTTCTTTATTGTCAGTAATAGTCTGAGATATTTAATTAAAAGGAAGGATAGCATTCATACATAAGTAAATAGATAGATAGATAGATAGATCAATAAAAATATTGTAGCCAAAACTATTGTTGATATATTGTATTAACTGCTTATGAATAAAATAAATTATTATTATTATTATTAATTTTTTTTTTTTTTAAACGTTGCTCCACACTAGGATTTTCTCCTGTGTCGTGGGTGCGTTTACAAACATACAAGTTCACATACACATGACACCCAGACCCGAAACAACAATTTGTGGATCACACAAAGTGTTGTTCCGTGCGGGAATCGAACCCGCGACACGTTGCACGGCAGCCGGTTGCCCAGCCACCGCGCCAACCGTGCAGTCGATTTTTAATTTTCATACCCTGGCAACTACCCTATACAAATATTTTATCTTTGGATTATTAAGCCCGTTAGATAGAAGCCAATATGCAACTCACCAAGAGTTTTGAGTGCAGCGCTCATCTTGCCCGACTTGCTTTGTTCCAGCTCGAGTAGTAAGTTCTGGAGCTCGTTGTCCACTGCGGGCTCGGATGGCGCCCGGCACCTTAGCCAGGCTAGCGCGTCCCTAGCTTCCTAACAAATTTAATTGATAGATCAGATATAGTACTTAATAAACCAAATGTTTCAGAATAAGGATCACAAAGGACACTGAAGTGGAACTGCAGTGTTTATTGATTTTTGGGATTTGAAAAGAGTGTAGTTGTTTTTTTACATTTTGTAATTGATTTTTCAACAGTAAACCCAATAACTATGCAAATAATTAAAAAATGGAACATTTGAGTGACCTAAATGTCTTGACATTGTGTCAGAAGATTGCTTTTACAATCAATCACATGCACATAAAAAAACTAAAAACTGTTTTTTTACCTCAACTTTCCCGCTCTTCAGCAGATACGATGGCGTCTCGGGCATAGCGATGAACAGAACTAAATGCAGGATGGGCACAATAAGACACACCCAGAGCATTGCATGGTAACTCAGGTACTCTCCCATGACATACGCAAACAGATTGCCCAGGTTCTGTGAGAGAACCACTAAGCTGCCAAGAGTTCCTCTGATTGTGTCCTCACTGATCTCCTTGATGTATAAAGGTGTGACGACGTAGGAGCCACTGACTCCAAGTCCCACGATTGCTCTAGCTGTTATTAGGGCCCAAGTCTCCGTCGAGTACAGTTTGAGACCCCAGCAAGCCTGAAAACGTGCAATCAATCATCTAAATTTCATCATTTAAAGAAGCTGAGAAGTATGTATAATTAATTAAGTCGTTCGATTACCGACTAAGAAGCTTGTTGGTCCTCAATTTCTGATTTAAACAAAGCATCAAAATATAAGGTTTTTTTTAAAATAGATAACATTATCTTTCCGGGAACTTTATGTTAAGTACCTACATCATATGACTAAATTAAATATAACTTAAAACTCTAATTCTCCTACTAAATCTGTCCATACATTAAATACTGCTTTTTTTTTCAACAATTTCTAAATACTTCAAAAACTTACAGCCATAGAAAACGAAGTCAGCATCAACGCCTTTTTCCTTCCATAGTTGTCCACAATGTATCCGAATAGGAACACGGTGGGTGTTCCAACCAGGTAAACAACTGATGCCATCCAGGATATGGTGTCTGGATGCACTGGGGCTGCCGCTGGCGTGTCCTCAGACATCAGACGGGGACCCATGGGAGAGATCCAGCCAATTGCCGTGCCATATGAGAATACTGGTAAGACCACTGTAATAAATAAACAAAAATGTCCATGTGTAAAATTTATTTGGGGAAAGAAAATATTATTTTATCATAGATTCAATTGTTAAATCCTAAAATTTTTCGGATAAAACTATGAATGAATACTTAAGAACCTGGGTATATTTAAATTCTTTAGTAAACCGAATAGGTACTCAGTTTATGCTCTCTACCATTTTAGTTCATTAAGTAATTCGGTTTTCATTTTTCAAAGAACCCAACGCTTATGTTATTGAAGAATCAGGATATACATAGATCGAATTCCCACAATATAGAAATTGGAGTAGTAGAGTATCTACTCATCTCATAGAAACATTATAACGAAGAAGCCTTGAAGATCAATTAAATTAGTGTTGTTGAAAAAACCCCGAACCAGGAATAAAAAAAACGAATTTTAAATCAGAAGTTACATGTGCTTGATACGCTCTCAATGTAAAAAGACTCGTGAAAAATTAAGATCAACTGACATAAGTGTGGCAAATTCCGTCAACAAACAGTTCCATATACAGAACTACTCAATTAAAATGAACGAAAATTTAAATAATATTGGGTCAATCACGCATTACTTGAAGTAAGCCAAATAGACAAACAAAAAACAGTTTCATTAACTGCATGAAATTCTTTAGATGCTCAATTGTCATTACAAAACAAAACAATCTTGGCGAACATGAATCAATATTTAATTAGGAGGAGCTGATGCAGATGGCTGGATGTGGTGGCCCGGTTTCGAAACCTACCAACGGCAAGTACCAATGTGACTTTTTCAGAGTTATATGTACTTTCTAAGATTATTTAGACACCACTGACAAACGGTGAAGGAAAAACATCGTGACGAAACCTAGACTTATAATTTCTAATTATAAGTTTGAAATCGCCAACCAGCATTGAGCAAGCGTGGTGGTTAATGCTCAAACCTTCTCCGTGTGAGAAGAGGCTTTGCTCAGCAGTGGGCATTTATAGGCTGTTGATGATGATGATGATGATGCAGACGGCAGCGCATCAAGCTTATACAAACTGTAGTAGATTTATAACATGAAATATGAAATCCAAGTATCACAAGGTTTCTTGGGCTCGTTTCCCTGATCGGGCTAATCCTTCGTTGGAATAAGGTAGAATTGTATCATGTTTTTCTCCTGATTCGCCACGAATGGGGCGGCTCGACCGAAAACATCTCACAGCCCCTTAGAAAACCGGCGTGGAATAACGCATGTGTTGTATTCCGAACTGTGAGTGAGGTTAGCCTACGAGGCTTAATCCTAAAATCCCTAACTTCCACAAGGCCGGCAGCATTATAGTACCTAACTCCTTTGGTGTTGCGAGTGTCCATGGTCGGCGCCGATTGGTTATTCCAACCCATGAAATTTGTTTACTCGTTTGTAATATGTATTAAAGTCGCAGTTGATATAATTTGATACGCAGTCGTCTGCACACGTGCTCTTGACTCCGTGCCAGCTCATCTTGTAAACTGGCTTCCTGACCCTATCACGGAAGACGTGCGTTGATCATGAGCCAATGGGGGCTTAAAGAGGTGTTACTAAATTGTAAGTTATCGAGACAAGTAGTCTACAGAGTCCCAACCCGTGGTACTCTATTCCTAAAACTATTTTTATCTTTTTACTAGGTCGATTACTTTTGACAGCAGCTTATGGCCCGCCTGATGATAAGCACGGGGTACGTAGCAATTTCGCAACATTTATATTGCGTTGCTAACCTTGAAGAAAACTTAAATATTTAGTCTATAGTCTAATCAGAAGTAGATAGGTCAGATAGGTAAGACATGTTGCATATAAACCACGTTCCTTCATGAGACATTGTAAGGGAATGAAGTTCATGCTGGGTCATTAATTGTCCTGGATCAATTGGCGGGGTCGCCATATTATTGCCTCGTTGATTGGTCGATTCAACTCGTGCGCAGACGCCGGGCAGTCTCGACCCTTCTATGTCGGAATTAATTTGTGATATCAACGTGTATGATTAAGCGTGTATTATTGTCTTGTTTTGAATGGAGACGGTTAATTTTAATGTTTATGTTGTGGTCTCGTAAGTAGGTAAACATGATTGCAGAAGTTAATGGTTTCAGATTTGATTTTCAAATCCGCCCGCCCGGGTGAGGCGAGAGGAAGTGTCAGACTCTTACTGACTAAAAACCACCCTGTTCCTACTCCTGCACTTCGAGCCGGAGCCCCGGTAACCCGTTAAGTCTTCCGCGGCTCCGTATCGGCATCAGCCCTGTTGGGCCCCATCTGTGGTGGTCTGATGGCTCCTTGAGGCGCGCGGGGAATGCGATGCACCGTACGCTCGGGCGGCGAGTCACCCGTGCTCGCCGTCCGCAGGCCCGTTCTTACGGTGGTCAGAGATCGTCTCGCGATCCCCGACGCTCGGAGTGTCTCTCGCGACGGCTGGGGCGTGAGGTGGTTCGTTCCCTCATGCGCTCTGCCTCCTTAGCTAGCATGACTGCTTCGCAGAAGGTGGAGACGGCATCCCAGTCCCCCTCGCTCCGTACCATGGTCTGAACCAGAGCCGGACGCGAGAGGTCGCCGTCGCCGATACCTACGATACTACCTACGATATTAATTTAACACGTGTAGAAATACCACAAAACATGTGCTAACGAAATGATCACAAGTATACCTAGCAATTGTACGCTGATAGATGACTACATCAATGACGAAAGCATCGATTTTATTAGAATTTACCTACCTTTTAGTCTTAAACACTTTATTTGATCAATCTGTACCTCACAAATGTATACTTAAGCTTAAATAAATATTAAATAATCTGGTTTTTTTGTTCTACTAGGTATCATTAACAAAGCTGCACTGACAGGCGAAGGTAAATAGAAATACCTTTGAATTTCCAAAAATGAAGAATTATGCTAAAATGTAAATCGATAACAAATATTGGATGTAAATTATATAAGTACGGACAATATTATATTTGGTATAATCTAGTATTTTTTGGATGAGTAGGTATCTGGTTTTTATTTATCTAGCAGCTAGCTTAAATAGCTAAAATATTTCATCATTATCTTCGTATCAGCCGTCCTCTACTGAACATAGCTTCACCGATGATTTCCACGGACAGTTGGAAGCGAACTGCATTCAGCGATTCCCTTTATAGGTGCGTCGCCGTTGATTTCAACAAGCAAGATTTTAATTATTATATTTTCGCCTTACGTAACTATTTGACGAGGAACTCGACTAGTTTCAAGCCATGCTAGAGGCTCATCGGCCGCCGCAGCAGACTCGAGTAGTCAGTAGCAGCGCGACAGTCACAGAGTCGCGTGTCGCGGAATGCTGCTAATAAATATGACCCTCTAGCATGGCAGTTACGTGAGTAAGCCGAAAACATAATAATTAATTAATTATGTCTCACGAAAGTTTTAATATAAGCAAGATTTTAGTTTTTTTCTTATCTTATCAAACATAATATTTTATTAACACACTATAACAAATTAATATCACTCTCTTAATTCCCCGAAAGTCGTAAGCAGAGGCAAGTAATACCTAGATGTATTACCAGACATACATGTAATACCTAGTTATACCACCCTTTTTTATATATATTTGATGGGCTGACGTTTTATCACTATCTCGCCTAGTGCTAAGCGATGATACGTCTACGATGGATCACGTCACACGGCGTCCCATAACCTATTCACTCGGGCCTTGAAAGTATACCCTTCAGAAAATACAGACTGGTAAACAATGCCACTCCTTAGGAGTATTTATTAATTAAGTCTCCCAAAAACATATGCTTCATTTTAATGAAAGAACTGGTCCACTGACAATATAGTCAACTATTTTACGCAGTTCCTAGGTCAGTAATACAGAGAGGGGTGGGGGTCCGCGTTTGTTCCACACTAACAAGTGCAGGACTAATGCCGGGGCGCGCGCGCCTCTTCGTCGCTTAGTGGAAATATACAATTTGCATTTCATGGGTCTGGACATGTTTTGTCTTTCAAAACATAGATTTAGAAAGCAGGCCGTGGAGCTTCTGACTGCTGGGTTGCTGCAGTGATGGTTGGCTATTAATTAGTATTCTTTTTCTTAATCATAAGTACAATGTACAATGGTTTTTTGTTGTATCCTTTTATGTATCAATATTTAGTAAATTTTAATATAATTAAATTACGATAACACTACCGCAACACGGTCATTATTGCCGTTATATTTTATACTAAATTGTGGGCAATGGTGTGGGTTACATATTTATTGTAGTTGTTGTTTAATGTAAAACTTTTATGTAAAATCTTAATATGTAACTGTTTTTTGTCCCTTACCTAAATAAATAAATAAATAGTCGTTACCGAATCAAAATCAACTTGTTACGAACATACCTCTATTTACTTACTTCCGCTGTAACGCAATGGCGTCGAACCCCGGACTAGGGTTGAAAGTCAAGTGGCCGAATGTGGTGGAAAACATGTTATGAGCAAATAATATGAAGTAGGTATCGAGGGGGATGTTTTTACTTATGTTTTGTGATTCTACGAAATATTAAATAACGTACTTAATAGGTATCAGAAAAACATGCGTAGGTATTGTTTCCTGCAGGAGAATATAAATAGAGAATGGAGACCAGTTTTTTTGTCTAAATGTTAAAGGTTATTGACATGGCAAGCCTATGCGTGAAGCGATTAAGGAATATAATTTAAACTGTCTATGTAGCCAAACAAGAATGTGGAATTACCTAGCAGATTTTGGTGGACAGATGAATCTGGTTTAGATTAACATGTTTCTAATGGCATATTTTAGAAATTACGTTTTCTGGTACGGTTAGGCGTGGTGGATTAGCGCAGTTTTTGTTTGTAAAAAGGTTGAAAACGCACCCCAATTAGTATGAGAGAACGGTAGTAAAAAATTTGGTATATATATATGTATATATATATAATGTAAATAAATACCTAGGGTATCATAATTATACCTATTATGGGAGCCATTAAGTACCTACGTGTCTGTAACTGTTTAAGTTTACACACATCGCAG